TCGGTGGAGGAGAAACGCAGCCGCCGCGACCTGGTCACCGAGGTGGACAAGGCAATTGAGAAGTTCATCTTCGAGCGGCTGAAGGCAGCCTACCCCGAGGGGCACGTCTTCATCGGCGAGGAGTCGGCGGGCACGGCGAATCGCATCACCTCCGACGCCCCGACCTGGATCGTCGACCCCATCGACGGGACGATGAACTTCACGCACACCTACCCGCTGGTCTCCGTATCGATCGGCCTGGCCGTCGAGCGGCAGCTGGTGATGGGCGTCATCTACGCGCCCTTCCTCGGCAAGCTCTACACGGCCATCAAGGGACGAGGGGCCCGCTGCAACGGTAGCCCAATTCACGTCAGCCAGGGCGTGCACCGGCTCTCCGAGGCGCTGGTTTTCAGCGAGGTGGCCTTCTTCGGCGGCGAGCACCACCGAGCCTACATGCGGCGCCTTTTTGAGCAGGTCCTCTGGAAGGCCAGCTCGGTGCGGATGATCGGCAGCAGCTGCTGCTGTCTGGGGCTGCTGGCGGAGGGCGCCGCCGACCTCTTCCTCCACGCCGGCCTCTGCATCTGGGACATGGCCGCCGGGGCGGTCATTGTCACCGAGGCCGGCGGCGTCCTGCGCACCATCAACGGCGACCCCTTTGACCCCCACGGACGAAGCCTTCTGGCGGCCTCCAGTGAGGCGCTGATTGAAGAGGTGGCCCCGCATACGGCTATCATCAGAAAGAAAGAATAAAAGTGTGAGGAGTACACTTTTTGGAGTGTTCAAGAAGAAAGAGAAATCAAAATAAAGAAAGCTTTTTTTATATGAGAAAGATCGCGCCATCTCGATTCCTAAATTCAAAGATGCCCAGCCTACACCAGCGGATAGGTAATCTCGTAGTTTAAATTGCAGACATTGCTGCCCCGGGCCAGGCGAAAGTACCCGCCCCGCTCGCCCCACTTTGTCCCCCAGCTGTTCTTGAGGATCCAGGCGTCGGCGGTGTAGCCCACCAGCAGCACCATATGCGTCAGCTTCAGCGGACAGTCGTCGGCGTTGAAGACGCCGCCCTTGTAGTGCTGCAGCCGGTCGCTGTTCAGGCAGACGGTGACCGGCCCAAAATGGGCCACCGCACGCTCCATCTCCGCCTCGGAGAGGCGTTCCCAGGAGGTGAAGGAGCTGGAGCCGTAGTTGGTGAGGCCTCGAATGCAGAAGCTGCGCAGGGCGGCCGCCCACTTCGGCTTCGGCGCCGGGCAGCCCTGCCACTGCGCCCGATACGGCCAGCTGCTCTCCAGCGCCAGGCCGTTGAGGTAGACGTAGCGGAGGGCGGTGTAGGCGGTGCCCGTCTGGCACTCGCTGCCGCTCTCGCCGCCCTCCCAGCTCGAACTGCTGCAGTCGACGAGCTGCTGCTCGCTCAGGTCGAGCCGCTTCTTATGGTAGCGAAGGTAGGCGGACTCGAGGGCCGCTGTCACTGCAAAGGCCCAACAGCTGGCGCACTGGTACTGGTGGCGGACCGAGGTGACCAGGCCCTGGGTGGACCAGTCGAGGCTGCTGGGAGGGCGAAAGGAGCGAGGGGGAAGGCAGGCGGAGTCGAGGCGAGCCGAGGTGAAGCTACTGCTGTTTTGGAAACTTCCAATTTTATCGCCTCCTCGGTTTGAGGAGGAGAAGGAGGCATCGTAGCCCGTCAGCAGGCGGCGAAACTCTTCGGGACTCTAGAAAAGGATTTTGTTCAAAGTCTGAGGGTAGAAAATAGGAACTCCTCTACCTTATCGGAGATGTTGGTAAAGCCCAACTTGTAGGAGCGTCGCTTCACCGAACAGGCCACCACGTGTCGGGTAATGGCCCGAGCGGCGGCGATCAGCGCCTCAATCGACTCCAAAGTAACCGTTTTGGAAGGGAGGCTTTTCTGGACAAGAAAAACATTTTTCATAGTATTTTTACTCAAAATTAAAAATTTTCCACTTACATAGTAGCTAGTCAGCACCTGAAAAGTGCTCACATTGGCAGAGAAGAGCTGAATGTCGGTGCCATTCAGCTCGCCGTCGTAGCAGGCCTCTACAGCGGCGGGAGTGATACGTTGGCCAACAACTTTCCGGCCTGATTTAGACTCTAAAACATCAAAATTCGAGAGGATAGGCGCAAAGAGCGAGGGGCTGCCCCGGGCCTGAAGGTGATCATCAAAGACGGCCAAACGCTGCTCCAAAGAATGGAAATCGCAATAGGAGCTGAAACCCAAACACAACAGCATCAAAAAGAGGAGAGAGGAGGACATTGTCAAAAACAGAACAAAATTGAAAACAAACAACACGACCAGCAGCTTCAGAGACCAACTAAACACAATCACATCCTGGTCATCAAAATTAACCCAGAAAACACAAACCAAACAAAACAGTCGACACCACATCCTCAATCACAATAAAACAATCGACCTTGTCCCAAATCACAACAGCAAAATCAAATCATGGCAGCATTTTTACTATCAATCGGCAAAACCATCTCACCATCAGCTCATTCGAAGTCCTCAGCAGCCAGCAGAAATCCCTCCACCAGGCGCTTCCACCGTTCCGGCTCCGTCTGATGGAGGTTGTGGGCGCCACGCTCAAAGCGAACCACCCGCACCTGAGGCAGATGCCGCTCCAGAAAGTCCGCCTGCTCCGCCTCCACAAAGGCGTCCCGCTCGCCGTGCAGCAGCAGCGTGGGCGTCGCAATGGCCGACAGGGCCTTCTCGAGGTTCGCCAGACCGAGGTAGTTGCCCGCCGGAAAGTGCTCCTCAAAGCGGCGGATAAAGTCGACGTGCTCGCGCCACAGCCGCCCCACCCGTTCCCGGTCACCGCCGTAGGCGGCCAGGTAGAGCTCCAGCTGCGGGGGGCTCCAGTTGGCGAGGTCCCGCGACCAGAGGATATTGCGCCGGGAGACGGGCCCGCTGCGACGGGTGATGGCGCCCTGCAGGACGAGCGACCTGAGGCGGTGGTGCTGGTGGTGGTGGGTGTAGCGAGTGTTGGGCGTCACCTGCAGCGTGGAGAGAAGGTGGGCGATGAGGAGGGCGACCTTGGCGCCGTCAGACCAGCCGATGATGGAGTAGTGTCGGTGGCCGAGGTGCTAGAATCGAACAAAATTAGGCAAAAAGGCTATGGAAAAATCACACGAATCCAATCCGTTTACCTCCATCAGCGCCATACAGCAGTGCGCATCGTGGCGGTAGGTGTTCGGGCCGAGGAGGCGCCCCGGCGGCGTCGACTGGCCCCAGCCGGGCAGCTGCACCGCCACGAAGCAGAAGTGGACCGTGTCCAGACGCTGACCAATGGAGTGTGGTTCTCGAATAGCCTCACTACCGCCCGGAAGTGACAGCGGCAGCTGAGCGGGAAAGTCGCTGGCCGCCGTGCCAATGGCGCCCGGAATCACAAGCACAATGTGCTCTCCGGTGCCGAACACCTGGTAGGCGATGGTCTGCGCGTCGAGGACGCGGGCAGTCGTGCAGTTGGTCATGGTGAAAGGCAAAGAGGAAAAGGGATAATCAAGCATCGTTTCTGCCAGCTTAAATATGAGCATTTGAGCAGTAGCCTTGAACATCATTGCTCCTTTTCCTCAGAAATAGAGCTTCTTCATTTGCATCTTTTCCTCATCATATGATAGAGTTTGCAGTTTAGTAATTAAAAATGCACAAAAATAGATTCGGTAGTTCAACTCAAAAGCAAATCACCTGATTGAGCTGAAAGTCAAGTAAAGTCGATCGGTCAAAAGCAGGCAGCAGTAGAAATGCACTGCTTGACGTCAGTAGCGACGGCAGTGTAAAGCGAAATCAAATAAATCAGCAGCAGCTCTAATTCAATTCATTAGCATCCAATTTTAGATTCTGTCATTCTCTCTTTGAATTCACTTCACTTCTGCAATTTCGCCCGATTCTGATGCAATGCAAAGCAGAGAGAAAGAGAAAGAGA